TGCAGTTCTTACTATTTCTCTTTCTTCCTTTTATTTCCCTCAAGTCTTCCATCCAGTGGAATGTTCTTACTGCCGGTGTGAGAGCATGATGGGCTTCCGATACCGATGCCAGCAGTGCCACAACTATCAGCTCTGTCAAAACTGTTTTTGGCGTGGCCATGCAAATGGCCCTCACAGCAACCAGCATCAGATGAAAGAGCATTCCTCTTGGGTAATCACTCTCTAATGTGCTCTTATTTCTAATGGCAGGTCTGATGCCTTTCTAGTATGTGAGTGGTAAGCAAGGAGCATTCCACAGTATACAGCCATACTGGAGGGAATGATTGGAGCACAGACCCACAACATGCTTTTTAGCCCCATCAGTCCTTTGATTAAAAATAAAAAGTCTCATAGTGCCCCTGCGGGCTTGAACAATGTAGTAAAAGCACATGAGAAGCTATAGTTCTGATGCACTCTGAACAGGCTGCCTTTATGGTTTGTTTAGAGACCACTTGCATGAATGGTCTCCATAGTGTGGATAAGGACAGGTTTCTGATTAGTATGCTATAATACTTGTGACCAGGAATGGCTTCTGAGGTGGTAAGTATGTTATATTTGGCTGTAGGAACAAGCTGGGTACCTTTTGATTGCTTTGGTACCCTGTTGGATCCCTCTCTGGGTTCTTTGATCTGGTTTCTGGGCTGGTGTTGGAGTCTCCTTGCCTTATAATGCTGGGTGATTTCAGTCTCCATGCCTTGGGGCCTAGTCAGGGAAAGCGTAGGAGTTCATAGCTGTCATGGCAGTTATGGTCTTTGCACATGTAACCTCTAGCCCATCATATGCTGTTGCTCATACAATAGACCTTGTGTTTGCCTTGGAGCCATTAAATGATGATCTGAATATAGAAGGTATTACATTTAGTGTATTGCTGTGGTCAGATCACTTTCCAGTCCAACTAAAATTATCTGCCACCTGGGACTGCTGCAGGGTGGAATCCACTAGGAGAGTCTGTGTTCTGTTTCAAGGTAGCAGACAGATAACAGTTGCCAAGGAGCAGAAGCAGATAACAGCAGACAAGTTGTAAATCAAAGATTTAGCAAAGCAAAGGACTGTTTGCAGTCCAAAGAGTGAAACAGTAGTCTAGTTATGTTGCCAAAAGTCACAAAGCCAAATTGGGTAGTCAGCCAGTCCAGAAGTCAGGAATTTAAGAACAGGATACACAGGAACACAAGACACAAGCTATATTTTCAAACGGTTGTTTCCAACAGAGAGTGAAGGCAAAGCAAACTACATAAATGTCTCTGCAATTATTCAGGCCTCACCCTTTGCTTTGTGAGGAGTCTTATTGATCAACACTGTTCTTCTCACCTCTGTGGGGGTCTGGATCTGGGGCTTGGGGATCATGCTTTGTCATCTGACTGCTCTAGCTGATCAGGAGATGCCTGTGCCTGATAAGTGACAGATGATTCCTAAGGCTGACATTCCACAGACTCAGCTAGAGCAACATCATCGGTCAGACTCTGAATTGTGGCTCATGACACTATCGGCTCCCACAGGGCCCCCCTCTGCCCCAATAACAAGGCAAGGTTTCTGAGGATATCATTGATGAAAACATTGGACTAAAGATGGGGCATGTACATGCAACTCATCCTCCCACAAATGTTCCTCAGGTCTATAGCCTTTCCAGTCAATAAGGTACTGGAGGTGACTGTGGCACAACCAAGAGTCCAGGACGCGGGCAACTTCATATTCAGGCTCGCCATCAATTGAAATGGGAGGCAGAGGTGGAATGGAAGGACGAAGAGAGCTTGCTGGAACATCAGGAACCAGAAGAGAACGATGAAATAGGGAATGCACTTTGATCGAGTCAGGCAGCTTGACTTGGTATGCAACTGGGTTAAGGACAGCTTCGATGGGTAAGGGACCAATAAACTTATGATCCAGTTTTTTACATGGATGCAGCATAGTTAAATGTTGAGTAGAAATCCAAATTTGATCTCCCACTTTTAAACTGGGCCCAGGTTGCCGATGCCTGTCAGCAAATTATTTGTAAGTCTCTAGCCATTTTAAGTTGATCTTGCAAGACTTGATGAATTTCCATTAATTCCTGACAGAAGTTCTCTGCTGCTGGAAGTGAAGAAGAGGCTTGCGGGAACTGAAGGAATCGAGGATGAACACCATGGTTGGCAAAGAAAGGAGACATCTGAATAGTTGTTTGATGAGCATTGTTATATGCAAATTCTGCAACTGGTAAAAGCTCCACCCAATTATGCTGTTGGAAATTTATAAACCAACTTAAATATTGCTCTACGATTCCATTGAAACATTCTGTCTGTCCATCATACTGGGGATGGTGTGCAGAAGACAGGTGAATTTGCACACCGAAACCTTGAAAGACCTCCCGCCAGAGCTGACAGTAAACTGAGGGCCTCCATCCAAAACTATGTGATCAGGCAGTCCATGTAATCTGAAGATAGCTTGGATAAACAGTTGTGCACTATCTTTGCCAGTTGGCAATCCAGTGCAAGGGATGAAGTGTACCATTTTAGTGAGCATATCAACAATAATAAAATAGCGCTGGCACCTCCTCATTGAGGTAAATCAGTAATGAAGTCCAAAAATACTATTCCCCATGGTCGATTTGGCACAGGCAGAGGTAATAATTCACCTGAAGGCTTGCCAGGAACATGCTTGGCTTGATGGCAAATGGAACAGGAAGCCACATAATGATTGACATCATCACGAACCTGTAGCCACCAAAAGTCTCTCAGAACAAGTTGTAGAGTTTTATATTATCCAAAATCACCAGCAGCTGGAGTATTGTGGCAAAAAAGAACTTTTCCCCATAAGAGTCCAGTAGGAACATAGTAACGCCCCTGGAAACACAGTTGGCCTTGACCAATCGCTGGGTTGGTTCTGGGGCAAATTCTGAATTTCCCGTATGCGGTCTTGAGCATAAAGATCGTTATGCCATTGTTCTTGCAAGTTCTTCAACCAGTCCTCTGATATTATGATAGCTGCAAACATCTCCAAGGGAATAATACTTTGAAGGGAAGCAATATAATCGGCTTGATTGTATTCAGGTTTCTAGGACAAAGCATCAGTTCATTTATTATGATGACTTGGAATGTAAGTCACTTGGAAGTTGAACTGGGAGAAAAACAAGGACTATAGAATTTGTCATTGGTTGAGTTTACAAGTGGTTTGCAGATATTCCAAATTCTGATGTTCAGTTCACACTTCTACAGTAAGCTGGACTCCCTCTAGATAATGACATCATGTTTGAAAAGCTACTTTGTTGGTTAAAAGCTCCTTATCCCAAATAGTATAGTTGTATTCAGCAGGGCTTCATTTTCTTGAAAAATATGCACAAGGAAAGAGTACCAATGAAGTGGGATCAGCCTGAAGAAGGACAGCTCTCATTGCAACATCTGATGTATCTGTCTCTACTATGAAAGGTCTCAAAGGATCCAGGTGGCATAGGATTGGTTTGGAGGCAAAAGCAGACTTTTTAGCCTCAAAAGCTTCTTGTGCCTTTTGGTCCCAATTAAATGTTACTTTCTTTCTTAAAAGCTGTGTCAGAGGTACAGAGAGAGTAGCAAAGTGTGGAATGAAAGTTCGATAGTAGTTTGCAAATCCCAGGAACCATTACACATCCTTGACCCTTTGTGGAGCTTGACAGGAAAGAATTGCCTCCACCTTATTCAGGTCCATGGAGATGCCAACATAGGAAATGTGATGACCCAGAAAGTCAATTGTGGTTTTATCGAGCTCACACTTTTCCAACTTGGTGAATAACTGATGTGCCCAAACTCGTAGCACCAAATGAACATGTTGGGAGTGCTCAGCAGGAAAGCCTGAATATACAAGAATATCATCAAGATAAATTATGACACATTTGTCCAAAAGTCTAAAAAAATGTCATTCATAAGATGTTGAAAGACCCCGGCGGCATTAGATAAGATGAAGGGCATGACCGTATCCTTGAAATGGCTATATCAAGTTCGAAAAGCGGTCTTCATTCATCTCCTTCACAAATTCATACTAGGTTGTAAGCACCCCGTAAGTTCAACTTGGTGAATATCTTGGCTGTACAAAGACATTTTAAAAGTTCCAAGATGAGGAGTAGCGAATAGCAGTTCTTTATAGTGATCCAGTTGAGGGCCCAGAAATCATTACAGAGTCGGAGTTCCCCCAATTTCTTTTTTTACAAATAACACTGGAGCAGCAGCTGGAGACATAGATGGACAAATAAACCCTCTTTTCAAGTTTTTTTCTATGAAATCTCAAAGAACAGCTAGCTCGGGTTCTGAAAGTGAATACAAATTCCCAACTGGAACCTTTGCCCCTGGAACTAGGTCGGTTGTCAAACTTGGACAATCATAGGATCTATGAGGAGGCAGTTGATCTGCTTTTTCAATGAATACATCTTGGTATTCAGCATACTTGGGTAAAGCGGGGCAAGATTCTTTGGTGAATTCAGCCACTAGAGTCTCTATACATGATTTCACATGAGTTCTACAACCAGGAGTCTTAAGATTATGGAGCCTTCAGACCAGATGACATGTGGATCATGGACTTGAAGCCATTCAAGATCTAAAACCACAGGGAAATGGGGTGCAGATGCTAGGTAAAACTCCAACAGTTCTTGGGTGCTGACCTAAGCACATGTGAAGCTTAGGTGTGGACTTGTCTTCTGGTCCTGAATGTAAAGGTTGCCTGTCAGTAGTTTCCACCACCAATGGGTGTGGCTGGGTATTCCTTGGTCTGTGGCAAATTCTAAGTCCATAAAGTTGACAGTGGCCCCAGAATCAATCGTGGCTTGTGTAAGCATTTCTGGCTTGCCTGGGAAGTGCAGGGAAACAGTAACTACCAGTTGTTTTGAAGGAATACTAAGTTGTCTTTGGGTTTGAGCTGCAACCATTGTTCTTTGATTCAGTAGTCCCTCTGAATTGGGCACGGTTCCTTACTAGATTTGTTTTTTGCAGGACGTGTGGCAGCCAGATGTCCTTGACCTCCACAATATAAACATAGCCCCTCTTGACGCCTCCTGGTCTTTTCTGCGTCAGATAAATGTAGATGTGCACCCCCAACCTGCATGGGCTCCTCTGTCAAAGTACTGTCAGGTTTTGGTGCTGGTAAAAGAACAGCAAACTTGGCAACAGGCTTGTATCCACGATTTCTAGCTTTTCTTTGCTGTAACGTCCCATCTATTCGGAGACATAGTCATAA